GACTGCTTCACCTCCCCCATCTTCAAAGCCAGACAGAAGGCATGGAAAGATCCCACTCTCCTCCTTGATCAGTGTATCTGCCTCTTGACCCTGCCGTGGTTTTATGTGACAGGGAAATTCCACACTCCCGGCATGAATGGTTGGCCTGACAGGGCCATGCCAGGGGCTGCTGCGGCATGTGTGCCTGCCTCTGTCCTCAGGTTTGTCCCTCAAAGCCAACTCTAGCAAATCAGCACTGGGGCTATTTTGTGCAAAAGTACATTTAGATGCATAACTGAGGAACTTCCCCCGCTTCTGCAGAAAACTTGACATTTCCCTATCATGGTTAGAGGAAAAGTATTTGAAACTTGAGAGGGCGAAGAGATGAGCCACCAGCTTTAAATTGAAGGGGTTGATGGGGAGAGGGGCAGGCTGGTTGTGACTGTCGAAGCACAAACTCTCTTTTATTCAGCAAAATCCTGTGCACAGCTCCTCACTCACACTCCTGCAGCCAGCGATGCTGAGAAGGACCTCGCCCTGGGGAGGCGTAATGGGCACATTAACCTGTAAGCTGAGCACAGAGGCGGTTCTGAGAGCAAGGTTCACGAGATAGCAATTGGGAACGTTTTATTTCAAGGTGGGGGAGATGGTGTTTGAAAATTAATCATTCCCTTTCCTGTAATAAAGTCTGAAATAAAGACTTTATATTACACAAAACCTCATTCTGAGGGAAGGTTACTTTCTCTCATTTCTTTCCTTTCCTAACTCATAATTAGTCTGGCCACCCTCTATTAATTACTTGGTTCTTGGGAACCGGAGACACTTACTGGTAGAGCTGCTTTGCATATGCTCACTTGCATGGCTGTGTCACATCTAAGGAGCCTTAGTGTCAAGTTCACTACATGACGTGTGGAAAAGGATCATTTCTTTCTTATCATTTTGCTCTGAATTGAAAATCCTCACATCACCACTACCTTGGAGGTGACAGATTTCGCAAACCTTTTATTTCAGAGACTGTTTTCTAAGGATTTGGGGAGATACTTTGAAAATACTGCAGTCTGGTTGAAATTGACACACACTAACACCTTCTCTTTTCTTCTGAGAGACAGGCGAACCCCCATTGATAAACTTTAGAGGCCCCTGGTTGGCAGTGGCCTGAATGGTGTCGATTTCACTTTTGTTTTCAGTAACATTTTCTGAGAGCTCTGCAAAGCCAACGGCACGGCTTTACATGGCCAGAGTAGAAGCTAATGTTTGCCCTGCCGATGCCATTTCCTATCAATCTTACAAAGACCCTTGACACGCTGTTTACAAAGATGCGGCAGCCCAGAGCCCAGCGAGGACCTGATTCCTTTTTGGAAATTTTATTAAGTTGTAATAAAAGCCCAAGTGCAACTTTTAGTCCGTCTCCCATGAAGAATTATTTCAAAAAGGGAAAACTCTACTGCATGTAGCTAACGAAGGGAGCAGTGGAGAGTGGGGGTGCTCCTGAGCCCAAGACAATAGCCTTCCATTTGCCAAGTGTCAATAGTCATTCAGGGTCCCAAAGAAATGGAATATCTCAGCACCAAATCCATATCATTTCTACCCTAAAAATTTCTATTAAAATATCCAATGCATACACATTTGCCTCAACTATTAAGAAACAACAACAAACAACCTCAGTTTTTCTTCCCCCAGGAAATCTCCCACTGGAATGCAGGGTGAGGCAGGGACAATGTCTAGAGCTGAGAATTTTCTGGTTCCTGGCCACACCTGCTTGGTGGATGGGGTAGCACAGAGGGCATAGTTGGGTTATTACTCTGCTACCACATGGGAGGCAAGAGGAAGAGAAAGTGGCCAAGTTACTCTTCCATTCCCAGCCGAGCAGCCTCCCTGCCTGCCTGTCCAATTCCTCAGGCTTCTGGGGGTGGGGGAGACAACTAAAATAGTCCCTTGAAGATTTAAGAAACTCTTAGGGGATTTTCAAGCGCTTCAGTCCTTGCTGTCCTCTGAGAGATGGGAGCAGAAGAGACCTTCCTGTGGGTCTCCCGGTGGAGGGACAGGTACAGACAGTGGAGACGAGTCTATGCCAAGAGAAGCTGAAGTGACTTTCTGGAGACTTGATGGGGAGCAGACTAGTGGGTGTGGTCCTGGGAGACAAGGCTGGGGCCCAGTTCTGGCACTCCTCAAAGCTGCAGGTGATAGATGGATGACTTATTCATTTGTCCTCGTCTCTTGGTCTGGAAAATAGGAATGACACCATCGAACTACTCAGGATTTCCACCACAGATGACTACCTAGGAATTTGCCAATGGGAAATGTTGACTGTTCTGACTGTTCACGAGCTTGGCTTTCCAGATTTGGGGGCTCACCCAGATATCTCCATTTACAAAGCCTTTGCCAGGCCTTATGGCCTAAATCCTGACACTGTCCTGACAAGACTTTTTGCAGGCTTGGCTAGTTTATTGGCTCTCGTGGGACTGTGAACATACAAAGTGAAGGCCAATTATATGTTTGCAGCTTTGCTCCTTGTAAAGAAGCCTGGGGTATTAACTAGAAGAGAAATGAAAGAAATGTTTTAACTTTTTAGAAACTCATATTTCTCCCTGGGTATTTCTTCCCTTTGGGTGTCAGTTGCCTTTTGACTTTGTCAGACAAAAGACAAGATTTAGTGTGTTAATTTGAAAAATCTTAAGAAGAAGAAGATGACAATTTTTACATGCAGTTATTTGCCTGTGGGTCAGATATGATCTCTTGGCTTATGGCATTATTTACCATTTCTACAGCAAATGTGCTGCAACCTGGATGACTCAGCTAGAAACAGCCTTCCAATTTATTTGAGCATATTTTTTTGCTGTTCATTAACCATTGTCATAAGAATCAGGCCCTCTACTTGTCATTTGCAGTGTGGAGCACATTCTCTGTGGGTTTGTGCTGCCTTCCTCTTTTGCTCTCAGGATTTCTGCTGATCCTTCCTCATTTGACTTGTAGGGCAAAAACCAGCCTCATAAAGAAAATCGACAGCAATTAATGTAACATTTTTATGATGCTTAGAGCAGGATTAACGTCTACTGTATAGACGGCTGAACAGTGGTTTTTTAGGAACGTATTTCCTGTAGCTGTTGTTCCAGCCTGCATGGCTTCACACGCTGTGAGGGGCATCTGCATCATAACAAGCTCCTGCTGCATTTCTGGAAGTGTCCTCTCCTTCTTCTGCTCAGCCTACTTCTCGAAATGTGGCCTTCGCTGCCACTGCCATTTCACCTCCAAGTCATTAGGGAGAGTTGGATGGGAGTGCAGGGTCAGAAAATGTCTCATTGTGGCAATTTCCTGTCTTGTGTTCCTCCAAATAACAGAGTGCCAAAAGAGTGGCCATTCCCAGAAGCCAGAGTGTAGAAATGAGGCTCTGAGACTCCTTGATTTCTCTCATTTATCCCACCACTGTTTCCTTACTGCCACCCATTCTCAATCTTGGTCTATCGAGGCTGAATGATAGGGTGGTGAGGTAGATCCCTCTGGAACTGCCTACAAGGCTGGTCACTACCCTGGATACTCAATATGGACCTAACCCAAGTGAGTTCTTATTTTCAGTCTCAAGTAATTTATTCTCTTGGAACAAGATCTTAGAGCCGTAGAACCATGGATTCAGGTACCAGAAACCATAGACTCTTGGAAACTCTGTGATTCATAGGTTTTGAGGCTATACTTCTAAGTTGAATGCACTGAGAGTTCTCTAACAATTATGCAGTGAATTTTACTTTATTTGGTAGTCCATATATCAAGCTATTAGAATAGATATTCTTTTTCAATTTTACTGATGAAGGAAACTAATTAGATATCAAGCCTGAACTAGACTTCTTAGTGTAAGGAAAACCTCGAGAGATTGTCTAGTATAATTTACAGAGGAGAAAATGAGCTCTAAAAGGGTTGAATGACTTATCCAAGGTCTATACAGACAGTTGTAGGCAGTGTTGGGCCCATTCAACTCCCAGATTTGTGTTCTTTTTTATGCCAACCTGCTTCCTTACAAGTGAGGCTCTGAGCAACTGTTACCAGGAGGCAGATTCAATTCCAGTTGAAGGAAGTCCATTTTATTTGGGTATCAGCAAAACTCTTGATATCACAAAGAGCCTAGAAATGTAAGCCTGCATTTAAAGTGCTAAACAATATTGACACTGCTAAGGAGCTCTATGGAGCTCTTTTGCTCATTATCACAATCTGTAGACCTTGTATTTCATGCTTAAGGGTGGTGTAACTTTGTGAATCTATTCCTCTAAAAGAATGTACTGAAGTTGGGGGACTTACTGGGGGACTTACTGGGATCTATTCCATACATCTTCTTTCAGATACTATGGTGTCCCTTCCCTTCCCTTCCCTTCCTTCCTTCCTTCCCTCCCTTCCCTTCTTCCTTCCTTCCTTCTTCCTTCCTTCCTTCCCTTCCCTTCCTTCCCTTCCTTCCCTTCTCCCTCCCTCTCCTTCCTTCCTTCCTTCCTTCCTTCCTTCCTTCCTTCCTTCCTTTTTCCTTGTACCTCTCTTTCCATATCTTCTTCCTCCTCCTTCTCTATCTCTTTTATTTCTTATTTCCTCCTTTTCTTTATGTGCTTCTCTTTCTTTGATAAAAGAATGATCGAAAGTGAATTGTCAGGAGGAAGCAATAGGGTATGATTCAATCAATGACAACTGTCCTCAAATAAAACACTACTTGCTGATCATCTAGACTAAAAAACAAACAAAAAATCCCAACCTTAGAAAAAGAAGATATGTAACAAAGACATAAAAGACATCTACCTAAGATTACTAACTTCTCAGTTCTTTTTTTAAAATTTTCATTATTATGGGTACATAATAGTTGTATATCTTTATAGGGCACATGTGATGTTTTGATATAGTCATACAATGTGAATTAATCAAATCAGGGTAGTTGGGGTATCCATGGCCTCAGGCATTTATCATTTCTTTGTGTTAGGAACATTCCTGAAATTCTCAGTTCTTATGAAGAAAGCATGACCTTGGATGACATGATCATGAAGTAGACAAGATTCATTTCTAAACTTTATTATCACATCCTCTCAATTTTGCATCTGGATCTGGGACTCCCAAGGGAATAGAAAGGTGCAGCAGAGTTATCTAGCTTCCCAAAGTTCAAAACACACAACAGCCAACCAAGGGCGACATCTTCCCTAACTTTCCTTGGGAGTCTAGACCTGGTCTCTAGGAGTGATAGCCAACTGTTTTACGCCAGAGGGCAAAACTCCATTTGCATTTCATTGCTAGGACTCCTCAGAGCAGAATTAGTCCTGGTCAGACTGCAGTAAAAAAAGGAATTACTACCAATGAGTTGAAAGTGTATGACTAAGCTTGCATCTAAGGAAAACAAATACATTCCTAGAGCTTAAAAGACACAAATTTTCCTCGTGAAAGGAGAAGTTGAACCTAATCCCCTGTTCAACTATGTTTATCACACAGAGGTGGGGTGTGCATGAGCCCGCACCTGCTTGTGCGTGTGTGTTTTTTCTTCTCTAGAAACTTCTCTCTTGTCTTTTTGAGGCTATTGCAAACCATATTTGATAACATGAAAGTAGTTGCAACCATGTGGGTGTTCAACAATTAACAGCCTTTCGAGTATTCCCCTGGCATTGCAGAGATTAAAGGTGTCATGATCACCCTAAGCCATTTAGAAATCGTGGTGACAAATTGTGCGGTAAGTACTTCCTCGGGAACTTGTGGTTCTCATTAGACTTGGGAACGTGCTGATTGCAGAGGTGAGGGAGGGCTCCGAGCCTGACCGCTTCGCTGCTCATCCGTAGCTTCCTTTCATCTCCCTTTCCAGCCCAAGGGCTCCATGGAGTTTTTCAAAGCGCATTAGACCGCCCAACAGCATTCCTAAAAGTAGAAGGAAGAGTGTTTGTTTAGCTGAATTAGGGGAAGTCTCTTGTGGCCAGTGAAGTTTTTATTGAGCCATTTCTGGAAGAGCTAAAACAATCAAGTGGGCTTCTTTGTTTTGTGTTTTATCGTTTCTTTATATTCCTTGGAGAAGGTATTCCACCCTGAGGTTTGAGCCAGCAGATGCCAGTTGAGGAGTGGGACACCATTCACAGGACAAAGTGGGGAGGGGTCTGTGGGAGGGGACGCCTGAAAATACTGGGATAGATGGAGCACTTGGTTGAATTGGGAACGGAGAGTCTGAGAATTTCATAAAGTCAGTAATGGGCTTTGGTGACGCTTGCTGGGTGTGTAGTGTCCAGATAGTGAGAGCCTGCTGGGAGGTTGATGAAGGGATTACTGACAAAAGGTAACAAAACTGGAAGATGAGTCAGATGGAAAAAAATAAGGAGAAGATTGGGTAACCTTATCCATGCGGAAAAGTTGGCACAGATGAAAAGCATTATCGCACTATATCACACAGCCAGACTATCATGGCGGTAAGATGCGTGTGAGCACAAAATGCCCATTGTAAATGTGAGCGCATTGTGCAAATGTGTACTCACCACATAAAGATAAAAAAAAATTTAACCCAACACTTACTGAATGCTTACCAGGCACCAGGCACTGTTCTGCAGTAAGCGATTTAAATCCCACAAGATTTTTTTTTTTTTTTTGTCTTCTGAGTGATGCTTTGCTTTCTATAAGCAAGCTGAGTTTCAGATGCAGGGTTCCCCTCATTTACCTACAAGGGAATTTAAAGAAACAATAAAGCACACAACATATAAACCCAACTGGTATAGAATTTAAGATAGGTGTTATCATCAATATTATTGAATAGAAACACAGAGAAGTTGATACACTTGCCCAAAGTCACACAGTAAGTGAACTTGGTAGGATTTGATCAGGGAGTGTAAGGCCAGGCATGGCTGCTTAACCATTGCAGGACTTTCCCTCCATACAGGCACCTCTTAGTTTTTTTCTGTTTGTTAATGTGTCAAAAAGGCACATAAAAGGATGTTCATGGGAGTGTAAGTTATAGAGCACATTACTGGAAAATCCCTAAGTGCTCCACTAGAGGGAATTGATTAAATACATTTTGGTATATTCATATGAGAGAATACTATGCAGCTGTGAAAAATAATATTTTCAAAGAATATATATGAATGCTAGGTCAGGTTAAGTGGAAAAAGCTGGCAGCAAATCCGTATGTATAATTTGATGCCAATTTGTTTTTTTTAAAACTATTATAAAGGAAAAGAAGTGGAGGCAGCCTAACTGTATGAGTAAATGAACTAAATGTGGCTTAGTCATGCACTGGAACACCACAGCTAGTTCAACTGAATGAAAATGATCTCCATGTGTCAATATGGGCAAGTCTTAACACATAATGCTGAGTGAAAAGAGAAAGGTACAAAAGGATATGTATGACCTTATACCACTTACACAAAAATTGAAAATGTACAAAAGTAATACATATTGTTAGGAATATAAATACATAGTAAAAGTATGAAAACACACAGAGGATCTGTATACGCCAGCTTCAGGATGGCACTTCCTGGTTTCTCCCAGGAAGGAGAAAGAATTAGATGGGTTTTAGCTGGATCCGTTTTCTTTCTAAGGAAAGAGATAACTAAAGCAAATAAAGTAAAATGTTAACATTTGTTAAATCTTAGCGGTGTGAATATAGGTTTATTTTATACTGCTTTCTGTATGTTTGAACTATTTTATAATTTAAAAATCTCTTTATAACATATAATATGCTCTATAATGTCTTCTGTGTATGAATAACACATGCACAGCTAGACGGCATTGGAATATAAACAGTGGCTATGTTGGAAGAGTGTAGTGTATACAATTCTTACCTTTTATTTAAATTTTTCTGTATTTTTCAAATTTTCTGTAGGAAGTGTGAGATAAGAAATGAAAAGAGAAAATGTATTTTTAGAAAGTGTCGATGTTTTCAGCAAAGAGCTCCGCAGTGGAAGACAGAATTTGCTCCCGTGTGACATGGGTTGACTCACTTGGGTGCTTTGTAGCACTGTTTCCTCGCCTGTGTGGTGGAGTTTGCGAAAAATGGGCTGCATGCTTATTAGACCTATTTATTCTTTCTGGTGACCTGCTGACGTAGACCTCCGAAACCTTGGCACGAAGTGGCCGTGAAACTAACTCTTGCCACTAGACTGAGAAGAGGCAGTTAGGAGTGAGTGTGGCTGATCTGAAGTTTCTTTCTTCCCCCTGATGCCGTTTGGATGAAGCCCAGGGCACCTTGGAACGCTTTGTTGAGATGGTGGAGCCACAGCTTGGGAGGAGCCTGGATCCCCACATGTCACCACTTGCAGGAGAGCGGCCTAAGCAGAAACATACACATTGGATTTTGTGAGAACAAGAAGTAAACCTCTGGGGTCATTGGATACGGTAGTTAGCCTACTCTGACCAATATAGCCTCCATCTCTAGGATCCTTCAATTCTAATATTCTATGAATGTCAAGAGGCCCTTGGTTTAAAGTTGTCTCTCCATCTGTCTCTTAATGAGGTCCACTAGTCTCAGGCACAAACTAATTTAAACCATAAATGTGGACATGTCCAAAAGAAAGAAATTGGTAAACGAGTGAATTGGAAAGATGGGGGCCCATAGACAGAAGGCCAGGGGAAAATGTAGAACCGAGTGAATCTGGGTTGTGGGTGAGTTGAGGCCATGCTGGACATTTCCTAAGGACAAGGACTTGCATATCTTTGATCTCTTTATAGACCTCTAGTCCCACAGATTGCAGGCATTTAATGGATACTTGTTGGATGAATGAATGACTGTGTGGGAAGCTGCTATTAATGAGGGTCACATGCCCTGAGAAGCCACTGCCGGTTAGTTTCTAGAGTCATAGTCGTTGTGAACTTGATTCTGGAATGCATGGGTGATGTTGGCCTTTCAGTTTGGTGAAGTGGGTCAGAGCCCATGATCTGGACTTGGAGGTGTCGGACAGGCTGGGTTAGAACCTGTCTCTGACTCTTCCACGCCTTGGTGTTCTTAGATATAAAATAAGGATGAAAATACCATAAAACCCAGAGTCATTCTGAGGATGAAAAGAGTTAGCTGATACAAGTGAAGCCCCTAGCACAGTCCTGCCACAAAGTACCTTGGTGTTATGACGTGATTCAAAGTGACCCTCACTTAAATCAAGATAAGACTCCACAAGTCTCCTTACCTAGTTCTGCCACAGTCACTAGCTAAACCAGCACAGGTGTTGGCCTTGACCAGATTCACATGACATTGGTAGAATGCTTCAGAATCGCCTTATTACAACACCGTTAACTCATACTCGCTAAAGTAACCAATGGTTCCCACGTAGCAAGAGCACAGGAGGTGAGAGGAGACTGTTTTCTTAATGCAGACATCCTTCAAGGTCACCTACTGGCTGAAAGACCTCGAGAAGGTGACTTGAGTGTCCCGAGTTTCATTTTCTTACCTGTGAAGTGGGAGGAGAGAACACCTACCTCCCTGCCATGCAGGTTATTGTGAGGACAAAAACAATGTTCCGGAAGCCTGGCACAGCAGGGACTCCACTCCCCCCTCTCCATGTCACCTCTTTGAAACTCAGCCCTGGTTGAAGTTCAGAAGACATTTCTCCAGTTTTTATTCAGAACACTGTGGTTTTGTTGAAACTCATATACATTTTGGGAAGCATTCCCACCCCCCCATCCCACACGCCCCCAAAACCCATTTAGTTGAAGGGAAATGGAATCTGTCTGGTTTTGATTCATTTACACTCCACTTGTTAGCATTGTTTTGTAAGCAGCAGCCAAGATCCAACTAACCCTTGGAAGTTTGCTTTAAAAGCATTTTTAAAGTCTAAAAATTTATTTTTCTTTCTTCTTTTTAAAAAAAAAAAAACTGCTAAAAGAAAACGGGATTTTAGTACCAGCTGGAGTTGGGGTTTATTCTCTGTGTATGACTGGCTTCCAACAAACTTGGTAAAAAAAAAATACACTTTGCCATTCCAGGCTTTACAATTTCATCTCAATTTAATTTACTCTTGAAAAAAGTTTTCCTATTCTAAGCCAAGAGAATGTTTGTGTGTTCTGTTGCTGTTTTGCTGGATCATGGAATTGTCGCTTCTTTAAGATTTTTGGTTTGCCGCTAAAATGAAAAAAATGAAGACCGTTACTGAATCTTTGTGCGGTACTGGCTTTCTGTTGACCCTGTCTTCATTTGATTTGGTGGAGGGTTTTGGTGGAAATCGGTAAGAAGTTTCATTCATGAAGACAGACTTGGGAAATTACATGTAATTTTCCAAACCTATACTCAACGAGAGGAAAAACAGAAAGGAGTTGAACGCTACCCTCAGAGTGCAGGGTTTCTCAGAGGTTTCTACGGAGGACAGCAGCCGCGCTCACTACCATATCATTTTACCCACCAAGTTCGCACAGTAAACACAACCTCAAGACAATGCAGTTTACTTTGCATTGTGTAGTAATAGCCTTCGTCTGCTATTTCTAGGCTACACAATTGTTCATTGTTCACGCTGCTTCAAAGTTTAGAAAGGTTTAGAGTTTTCTTCCTGGGACCGAAAACAAACAAGGAGGTAATTTCCACTTGTATGGCAAATTTCCACTTGCTAAGGGGCTCAAGTAATGTATCTGTGTTTTTTAGAAGACGAGTTAGCGACAGATTTGATTTTGTGTAAATCTCAGAAACGATACAGTCTCCTCTTGAATTCGCATTAAGGTGTTTGAGGCTCAAATGGGCTTTCTGGACTGACTTGGTAAGTATTGTTAAGTTTGACTTAAGAACTCATTTCCGGATGAGGAAGGTGTATTTTTGATTTTATAAGAGGAGCAGTGAATTTTAATCTTCTGGTTTTCTGCGTTGCCACTATCTAGAGAGAGTGCATAAAATATCACCTTGATGATTTTTATCACCATCTTGATTGTGAACGTTTGAGCTAAGGGAGACCCATAAGTGTCAAATCAGTTTTCTTTGCCCCTAAATCCAAATTTCCATATGTCCAATATAGCTGCAGAACATATGGGTGAAGCTGGTAAACAATCCTTGGAGCTCTTCCTTGTTTAATTTAATTAGGTTGGTGGAGCCCCGGGAGAGCCTGTCTACTCAAAGCAAAATATAGAAAGAAGGTAGGAATGAAAACTTTCCAAATACTAACACAGGTGAGATCTGGGAAGAGTGCAGTCATGTTTATAATGTTTGTTTTCTTTTTCTTACTTTTCTGAATTTTTATACAATGAATATATGTGTGTGTGTATTTTAAGTTTCTGTTTACCAAAAAAGATGAGGATATATATTTGTTTTTCTAAAAATCAAACTATATAGAAGTATATAGAATAAAACACACAAGTTCTTTTCATTCATCCCTTAACCACACTTTGCTTTCTAGAGATCACAATTGGTTTTGTGCCCTTTTCTTTATTATACGTATATGTAATTGTCAATGTTATATTGAAAGAGCTGGATTCCATAGAGAATAGGGAGGAGACAGTTTCCCCTTGTTGTCTCTATAAACATAATGTCCAGAGTCTTTCTAAATTCTTGAATGCTCATATATACTAACAACTCCAGTCCCTTCAAATCTCAAGCACCATCCCCAGGCTCTTTGGCTCTCTGTGCACCCAGTGGGTTCTGGCTGCTTGAAGGCATCCTTTGACAAAAGATGCAGGTGCTGCCTGGGGAGAGTGAAAGCTCACCCTTGCCCCCACCCCAGCAGGTATGTGTGTGTATGTGTGTGTGCGTGTGTGTATGTGTGTGTATGTGTGTGTATGTGTGTGTGTGTGAATCTGATCAAGAGAGTGGAGTGCTGACAGCATCTCTGCAGAGGCAGCCCCTTTAAACATGATCCTGGCTGGTTCCCTTGCATGTGGCCAGAGAGAACCACTGTTGCACTCTCGCTGCTGTTGGGAGCAGTGCAGTCTTCTGGAATGCTGCTCATGCAGTGCCCGGGCCCCCAGCATGCAGCTCAGTCCAGCCCCATGCTAATAGACAGTCTTTGATCCTGGATCAAGTGCCAGTCTACTCTCTTACAGTGTTCAGAGAAAGCCCCTTGAACTCCCTCTTACTTAGACAGAGAGGTAAAGGTGAGAACACCACCACACCCTAACCAATCATTCCAAAGAAATTTCTCTCAGCATTTTCAATTTTAGTCCCTTTATACCCTTGAGGTGGGTGATGGGTGAACGGTTGCAACTGATGTCTCCTTTTCAAGTTCTGTCTAGGTGGTCCAGCAGCTCATTTGGAATATGAGTGCACTAATTGCCTGTTGCTTTGTTCTGGGTCTTTTGGAGGCTTTAGACAAAGCTGAAAAAGAATCCCATTGTCACATCTTGTTATAGACTTAGAAAAGTCCTTGTTTTTCTATGAATTGGAACACATTAATGTTATGCAAATTGCTGTCTTTATTGTCAATATATTTAACAGTCTTTTCATGTCAGAGGATGTTGAGCTGCCTCATTCTGTTCAATGGCAGCTTAACATTCCACTGGGTAGATAAACTATAGTTTATTTAACCATGTCCCTATTGACAGACTTTTTCCAATTTTTGGCTTTTATAAGGCATGCTGCCATGAATACTTTTTGTATTCATATTTGTATGTGTGTGTATGTGTGTATATACACTAGTACTTTTCTAGAATAGAGGCTTGGAAATGAAGCAAAAGGTAGATACTAGAAAAATTTTGCTGGATACTACCAAAGTGCCTCCAGGAGAGTTGTACGAATCTCTGTCTTTTCCAGCAGTGGATAAGAGTGCCTATTTCTCAACACACTATATATTTTCATTGTTTTTAATCTTTGCCATTTTAGGGGCCAACAGTGATCTCATTGTTATTTTATTCTGTGTCTTCTTGATCACTAATGAGGTGAGCATCTCATGTTTGTCCATCTGTATTTGTGCTCTGTGACTTGCCTGATCACATATCCTTCCTCCAGTTTATGGTTCTAAGGTCTTTCTCAGCTCCACGTAGTTCTAAACAAGGGGAAGGTGGCCAAATGATGAAGCAGAGACAGATTGTAGTGACTTGGTGAAAACCCTGGTCCAGCTCCTCTAGGACAAGCATTTATGCCTCTTTGTTTCTTGGCCTTAATTTTACACATATTAAAAATTACTAAGGCATGTTGGGTTTAGAGGAAGAACCAAAGGAGATTATTTAGAACACCTAGCAGCCATGGCAACATGCCTTTAGAAGGGGCATGTACTCTGCAAAAATTTATTCCACTTGCAGGTAATGACAGATATTTGCCAAATAGCCCCAAGCTAACCAGAGAAAGAATAGGCAGATGGTTTGAGGTGTGTCAGGAATAGGATTTACAAAATAAGATTATGGATATTCTGGAAAGTGACAGCAATCATTGTAAACAAATGGAACGGGCTCACTTTTTGCCATGGGGCAGAGGAAGAAAAGGGTTTTACATTGCTGCTTGTGAATTAGAGTTGGCTCACCTAGATGCATAGCTCTCTGGGGTTTATATAGATTGTAGGCACTTGTATGAGTCACATGACTGGGCCTCCCGTGAGTTCAGATCCTAAGCAGGGAAACTGCATTCTAGTTCTAGACATCCCTCATGATATTGGTCCTATTTTGGTTGTGTTTGGCAAACCAATCTGTATCCTTTTGTACATGAACATAACTGTGACACCACTTGAACTGTTAGTTGAGAAGACACTGGAGAGAGCCAGCCTGTTTATTCCTGAATGTATATTTTTGGCTGCAGGAATTAGAGTCACAACAGAGGAGGGCGCAGGACACCTCCCGTATGTGACTGACCTATTTGCTCATTAGCCCGAATCCTAGCTCTTGAAAGTGTAATGAACAAGTCTGCCTCTGCCATGGATTAAAAAAATGTCAGATCTCTCCTGTTCGATTCAAATGAGATTTAGAAAGATGATGCTTCCTCTTGGGGACATTTTGGCATTTTCTAAGGGAACAGAGAGAGGAGTTGTCAATGGGGATTTGCTGACAATGACGTCAGGAGAAGGTGGTCACAAAGAAAGACTGGAGATCTCAGGCCTTGGGATGGGCTAGACGCTCCCTCTAATGGTTTCGAGCTGTCACCATGCAAGCAAAGGGTGGAGTTTGGCCTTTAGAATACATTTCCATTAGCCTGGAGTTTGACAGCTAGTTCCCAATGGCAGCTCGCTGCAAAGCATGTGGGGCCTCCAAGTTGGCAAGGCTGATCTCTGACTAATGGGGAAAATTACCCAATGAGAATTAGCAATCTTGCATCATTGATCAGAATTCTTATGTTACCTTTCATGTGGGGAACAGAACAAGACTTTTCAAAAGGAGTTGGGACTGGTTTTAACATGGCCTGTTGGTCACTGAGACAGGAAATATTTAACATGAATCAGATTCATTTGGAATATGTTTGACTTGTCTTAAGTTTAACGTTTCCAGGTGTTAGTCTTACTGAGCACTCATTTAGTCCTTTTATGTATTGAAAAAATGTACCCTCTCATTATTTGTGGATAGATATAATTGGC